TTGAGCGACTGTGAGCGCTGGAGACCCTGTACTGCACAGTTTGTTGAACTTCGGTTCCTGTGCAGTTGCCTTGCATGTCCATACCCGAAGCTGTTAACCGCCGCCACAGAGCGGCCGCGACAACAAGTCGTGAGCTACAGCTAGCTAGTAGGTCAGACCAGACCGCTGCGGAATCGAGTCGAGTGAAACCCTGTGTTTGCAAATGGGGGGGGGCTGCGAACCTCCCCGCTGCATTTTTTTCTCTTCAAAGCCGTGCAGAAGCGTGCTTCAAAGTAAAATATGCTGTGCAAGCGTGCTTCATCGAGCATTGTGTTTGCAACACCCTAAACCCTAAACCCCTGAACCCCTAAACCGAAAACCCTAAACCCTGAACCCTAAACCCTTAAACCCTTAAACCCTTAAACCCTTGAACCCTGAACCCTAAAAACCCTAAACCCTAAACCCCTAAACCCCTAAACCCCTAAACCCCTAAACCCCTAAACCCTGAGCCTTGAACCCTGAACCCTAAACCCTACACCCTAAGCCCGAAACCAGCCCTAAACCGTGCAAAGCGTGCTTCAAAGTATATGAATCTTGTTGAAACCCATCGTACGAGCATTGTGTTTGGGGGGCTGCGCCCCCCCCAACCCCCCCGCTGTCTTTTTTGAGCCTGAGCCGTGCAAGCGTGAAACCCATCGTGCGAGCGCCCTGCTTTTTTTGGTTTTAAAGCCCCGCAAAAGCGTGCTTCAAAGCAGAGGCGTCTTGTTGAAGCCCATCGTACGAGCATTGTGCTTGCAAATGGGGGGGGCTGCGCCCCCCCCAACCCCCCCGCTGTGTATTTTTAGCCGTGCAAGCGTGCTGCAAAACATATGAATCTTGTTGAAACCCGTCGTGCGAGCCATGTGTTTGCAAATGAGATGCATCTTGTTGAAACCCATCGTACGAGCATTGTGTTTGCAAATGGGGGGGGCTGCGCCCCCCCCAACCCCCCCGCTGTTTATTTTTAGCCACGCAAGCGTGCTGCAAAACATATCGTACGAGCATTGTGTTTGCAAATGGGGGGGAGGGCTGCGCCCCCCCCAACCCCCCGCTGTTTATTTTTAGCCGTGCAAGCGTGCTGCAAAACATAAGAATCTTGTTGAAACCCGTTGTAAGCTTCTCGGCTCGGATCACATGTTTCTTTGGTTGGGGGTCAACCGGGTTCGAGGCCAAACAGGTTCTCTGTTCAACTGGACCCCCTCCGGACGCTGTAGTTCTTGCTTTTGCACATGGTTTCTCAATACTGAGCCTGGGGAAGCCGCGCTTCGGCACCCATTCACAGATGCAATGACGATGGCGATATGTCAGAGACCCGTGCGTTCAGGTTGTCCTCGGTGCACTCACTGGCCTTCATGGATCTGGTATGGTATTTGCATGGCATTCTGCTACTGGATGTTTTTGGAGACGCCTTTGCCACTTGATGAGCTGGTTGCGCAAACGCAGTTAGCCCCACGGTTGGGAGATACACGAGTGACACCTTCAAGCATCCTCACTGCAGGTCCGCTCTTCTTTATTTTACGAGCCGTGCCGGTCCCAAGTCCGGCAACCAGCATTGGATGGGCCACTGAAGACAGGCCAAAAGTATTGCTGGTAGAAGTGAGGGTTGCTGCAGATTCCAGTGCTGAGCGGGAGCCAATCAGGTTCGTGATCACCTGGGCTTCATGTGTGGGCGAAGATACTGGCCAGGCATTATGTACGCACCTACGCTTCGGGGCGGACTGCAAGGTACAGTGTTTTCACTGCCAGCGAGCTCGCGCCTATGCTCAGTGCTTGGTTTATTTATTTCGTATTTGCTTTGGTTCTTCATGTTGTATGACTATTCATTGCCACTTACGGTTGCCAGGCTTTGCGGCAATCAGGCATTTTGGGATGAATGTATGGCCACTTGCGGTTGTCAGGCTTTACGGCAACCAGGCCTATGGGCAGGACGCCGTCTTCGGCCCCTACAGTGTGCTGCTACAGTTTGTCTCTATGCAGATGAATTCGTTTTTGCTGAGGCGACGTCTGGGAATGCTCTGATGGCCCACCTCATGGTGCTTTCACTTTCGGTTGCAACAGCTGGAAGGATATGTGACGACATTCGTTGTGGACAGTTCGTTCCTGTTTCCCACCTAGCCCTTCTGGGAGTTCGTGGGTCGGCCCATGGCGAGTCTTCGGGCAATGAGGCAACTTGCGCGATGCGACGAGTCACTGTAGTACCAGACTCTCCATGGAGGTCCTCAACTGTCTGCCCTATGAGTTTGGATCATCGTTGAGCTGACCATATTTGACTCAGTTCTTTGCTTGTACAATGCATGTGATGGAGCAGTGCCACACACTCACCCCATAATTGCTTGATTTTTCTTGGCCACTTGCGATTGCCAGGCTTCACGGCAACCTGGCCTGTGGGCGGGGGCGCCGTGTTATCGGCCCTTCTATTCAATATGCTGCTGCTATTTTATTTTCTTTTCTGGTGGGTGCATTGGGCTTCCTCAACGTGATGGTCCCCTACGCTGTGTACCTGCCGCTGAGGTATTCTTGGGATTGCTCTGATGGTTCTCTTTCCTCGTGGGGTGCTTCTGCCAGCTTTCTCTCATGGAGGCTGCCGCTTTGGCAAAGCTTGCCCTTTGGGCAGGACGACAGAACGATGTGCCAATGTGTCTGTCAGCGGTGGCTACGCTGTCCAAAAGCAGTGATTCCAGAATTGTTGGCGGTATGCATGGAGGCTTGTTGTGGACTCCGTTTCGCTTGAAATTGGCCTGTGGAGTGCATTTCGATGCTCTAGTGGACTCTGAGTCCGTCCCTCCATGGAGGTCCTCAACTGACTGCTTTTCATGAGTGAGATCCATCATTGAGCTGACCATTTTGTAGCTCAGTCCTGACGTTGTACAGTGTACAGGGCTTGCGCAGCACTTGTCTCGGGGTTGCCGTTTCCGGCCCCCTGCCCAAGGCAGAGTGGCGTGATGTGTTTTTTCATTTCTTCGTTTTGACAATTCATTCACTATTCAGCTGAGCTGTCACAGTCTACTCCCTAGTTAGTAAGTGCGAGAACGCTAGGTTGAGCGACTGTGAGCGCTGGAGACCCTGTACTGCACAGTTTGTTGAACTTCGGTTCCTGTGCAGTTGCCTTGCATGTCCATACCCGAAGCTGTTAACCGCCGCCACAGAGCGGCCGTGACATATGTCATGAGCTACAGCTAGCTAGTAGGTCAGACCAGACCGCTGCGGAATCGAGTTCGAGTTCGAGTGACACCCATCATGTGAGCAGGGTGTTTGCAAATGGGGGGGGGCTGCGCCCCACCACCCCACCCCCCCCCACCCCCCACCCCCAACCCCACCCACCCACCCCCCCCCCCCCCACACCCCCCCCACCCCCCCCCCCCACACAACACCACCCCCCCCCACCCACCCCCCCACCCACCCCCCCCAACCCCCCCCACCACCCACGCTGCCTATTGTTGAAACCCATCGTACGAGCATGGTTGTTTGCAAAATGGGGGGGCTGCGCAACAAAAAAAGAAGGCGCAAGGCCTCCACAGAAAAAAAAACCTAAACCCTGAACCCTGAACCCTAGAACCCAAAGCCCTTAAACCCTTAAACCCTTGAACCCTAAACCCTACACCCTAAACCCTAAACCATTAAACCCTGAGCCCTGAACCCTGAACCCTAAACCCTAAACCCTAAGCCCGAAACGAGCCCTAAAAAGCGTGCTTCAAGCGAAAAAACGAGCAAGGCCTCCACAGCACAAAAAAAAACGCGCAAGGCCTCCACAGCAAAAAAATGTGCAAGGCCTCCACAGCACAGAAAAAAAGCGCAGACCTCCACAGCAAAAAAGCGCGCAAGGCCTCCACAGCAAAACAAAAAAAACGCGCAAGGCCTCCACAGCAAAAAAAAACACAACGCCCCTACAGCAAAAAAAACCCACAAGCCTACAGCAAAAAAAAGCGCAAGGCCTCCACAGCAACAAAAAACACACAAGGCCTGCAAAAACAAAAACGCGCAAGGCCTCCACAGCCAAAAAAAAACGCACAAGGCCTCCACAGCAAAAAAGAAACCGCGCAAGGCCTCCACAGCCAAAAAAAAACGCGCAAGGCCTCCACAGCAAAAAAAACCGCGCAAGGCCTCCACAGCAAAAAAACGCGCAAGGCCTCCACAGCAAAACAAAAAAAACGCACAAGGCCTCCACAGCAAAAAAGAAACCCGCAAGGCCTCCACAGCAAAAAAAACACGCTCAAGGCCTCCACAGCAACAAAAAAACACGCTCAAGGCCTCCACAGCAAAAAAAAGGCACAAGGCCTCCACAGCAAAAAACAAACCGCGCAAGGCCTCCACAGCAAAAAAAAAAACACGCGCAAGGCTTCCACAGCAAAAAGAAAACGCACAAGGCCTCCACAGCAGAAAAAACGCAGAAGGCCCCCACAGCAAAAAAAAGGCACAAGGCCCCCAGAGCAGAAAAGCCGGCACAGCAAAAAAAAAAACACTCTGACTTTTACCTAAGAAACTTACTCCACTTTATCGAGCGCCCAAACCCTGACTTGTTCTTCACCGCCGCCTTCACTTGTGACCACGTTGGGAACAATAGTCACAAACACTCAGGTTATACTCAACCTGGCTTCCTTTTTCATCATCTTTTCCAAATCCATTCTCCACTGCTTCTCGTACTCTTCCTCGGTACCTTTCGAGTACCGGTAAGGGTCATTTCCCTTTCCACCTTTCTTCCACAAATAACCCTTCTCAACTCCAGAATCCTCAAGTTCGCGGCGCTTTTCGCTAAACGACCACTTGATCTCCTTGTTCTTTCCTCCTCCTTTTGGCTTGTTTTTTTCTCCTCCTTTGGTCTTCTCCATTTCTGCAGCTTTTCTCTTCAGGAACTCTGGCGCTGCCTTTGCTTTTGGCTTTCCAACTTTTCCAGCGCGGGATGATTCGAAGATTTGCTACGTCCTTGTACCCCTCAGATCAGCTGGCTGAAAAGATCTTCTCAGTGGTTTTAACTGGACCCTGCCATGGCTTCCGCCACGCGCTTCCCGGTTCTTGCCAGTGTTTGGCTGGCTCTCTACGTGGGTGCCGTCGGTTCATGCACGGTATCCGTCATTGCCTCTACGTACATGGGCGCCTTTGCGGCGCAGAAGGAAGATGGTGAAGTGATCACATGGGGACACAGCACCTATGGCGGCGACTCAAGCGGAGTTGCTTCAAATCTTTCGCGTGGAGTTGTGCACATCGCTGCAGGCGCCGAGGCCTTTGCGGCGAAGATGATGGATGGCAGTGTGATCACCTGGGGGAACAGTGGTAGGGGCGGTGACTCCAGTGCGGTTGCAAGCTTCCTGTCATCCGGAGTTGACAAAGTCTTTGGAACCAGGCAGGTTTGCAAAAACATGCTTATTCAGTTTGATGAAAGGACCCTACACCCTAAACCCCAAACGCGAAACTCTTAGGGCGGCGCGGAATGTATGTCGACTGCATGGTTCACTGCATGATTCTCCAACTGACGATAAGGCAGGAAGTCCCTGTAGGTGTTGAAACTTGAACTCACCTAAACCCCCAGAGTAACCGGAAACCCGTATGTACCGGGCGATCTTTCTTGGGTGCACCGGATAAGGCTAGCAGCCTGGAATGTAGACAAAGGCCATAGCATATGCGGGTGGGGTGGGGGGGGGGGGGGGTGTAAGGGGCCCATATTCCCTTGAAGGCTGATTAAGGGCTTGTGCTTGAGGCTTTATTTGGGGAATATACACCACGGGCCCAAGTATAAGTAACATGTGCCCAGGGATTACCCTTAATCCACACCAAGAACTTGCAGCCCCAGTGGCTTCCCAGAATAGAGAAGAACAAGAGGCACACTGAGAATTATATCCGCCAACAGGTTTCCACAAACATCGGTTTGAGCCCCGGCCCAGATCCCCTCCTAATTCGAAATGGGCGTCAAAAGGCAGGGCGAATATCAGGTGGATTGCACGAATCGGGTGCGGGGGGGGGGGGGGGGGGGTAGGGATTCAAAGAAAGCAAACCGAGGTATACGTGATAGGATTGCCGGCCCCTAAATCCTAAGCCTGAAGCCCTAAACCCTAAACCCGAAGCCCTAAGCCCTAAACCTTAACCCCCCTCCCCCCCGCCCCCCCGCCTGGCACCAACCCCCCCCCCAATTCCGAGAGGTGGTCTATGGCAGCGCTCAAGATCGATGGCAGTGTTGTCGGCTGGGGCATCTTCCAAGACTACGAGGATCTGGGAAGCCGAGTAGGTAACCGCTTTAATTACCAGTCTTAACCTTTTCGGGAACTCGAAAATCGCCATAAGCCCAACTCAGCCAGTAAGAGGATGTGAGAAGCAACCTGACGTCCGGAGTCGTCTCCCTCATCCCCTCCGGCAATGGATTCGCAGCACTGAAGGCCGACGGGAGCGTGGTTACATGGGGTCTTCGACCCCATGCACCACTCAGTGCGGTCACGTCCGGGGTGGTCAGCGTTCATGCCTTCCACAACTTACACAACTTACGCAACGCGTGGTGGGCCGTGAAGGATGACGGCAGTGTGTTCACATGGGGGCAAGGTTGCGTTTCCCAAAATTATGTGGTGGATCTGTCCGGAACGGAGGCTTGTCACATGCTGACTGTCAGTCTATGCGCCTGCAAGAAGCAGGACGGGAGTGTCGTGAGTTTTGGGATAGAGCAAGACATACCATCCCCGACCGCAGACCTTGCAGCTGGAGTAGACTACGTGGTTGCTAGCCTGACGGGGTTTGCAGCGAGAATGCTGAATGGTAGTGTAATAACCTGGGGAAGGAACAGTGAGGCAGATTCCAGCGCTGTGTCAGGCGACCTGTCCTCAGGAGTTGTGGCAGTCTACGCGTCCGCTGGTGCTTTCGCAGCACTCAAAGCAGATGGTTCAGTCAGAACATGGGGCAAGACTACTCACGGCGGCGACTCCAGTGCAGTTGCCAGTCAGCTTTCGTCCGGTGTGATACGGATCAGGGCTGCCGGCGAAGCCTTCGCTGCTCTCAAGGACGATGGAAGCGTCGTTACTTGGGGAGACAGCCAAGATGGCGGTGATTCGAGCGAGGTAGCAGCAGATCTAGCCTCAGGCGTGGACTTTATGGCTGTCACGGCACATGCCTTTGCAGCTCGAAAGGTGGACAGTAGCGTGGTCACGTGGGGAAGGTCTGACAGGGGTGGAGACCTCATTTGATAGGCAATGCCACCAGGTCCATGCGACAGATTTCATGAATGCAGTCGTTGGGCACATACTATACGGAGTCGACCGCGCACAGCACTCGTTTCGGGTTTGCACCGCAGCAGTGAAAGTTGCGCAACTCAGCCCTCCCCGCCCTCCCCGCCGGTGCTTTGCAAGAATCCAGAAATGGCCCGACTGAGGCGACTCGTACACCCACCCCACGCTGTCCCGGGCGACAGGCCCCACACCCCACCCTCCTCCCCCCCCCCAACCCCCCAACCCCCTCCCCCACCCGCCCCCCACCCGTAGCGGAGATTCGGGTCGGTTATATAGCTGGGACAGAAATTAAAGCACCGGATAACCGGCACTCTGCCCTGCCGACGACATGTTGGACCTTGCGAGTGGCATTGCCGACAGATGACATTAAGGCAAGGTTTAAATATACATACGCAGCTTTGGGTGTTGGGTTTGGGGTTTAGGGTTTGCAGGGTGTAGGGCAGCAGTGGGAGTGTGTGTGAAGAAGCTGCGTGTGAAGCCAAGGCACCGACCTGTGGCGGCGTAGCAGTGTAGCTCACACTTGAAAGCTTACAGATCTTACAGGCGCAAGCTGATCAAACTTTCAGATAAGTCAGTTCGAAAACGTTAAGAGCTTAGGTGGCAACTCGAGTGCCGTGGCACATCGCATCTCGTCTGGAGTGCCGGAGGATCCATGCTTCACGGTCACCACGACGAGTTTGACAATGTCAAGTAGCACGAGGACCACATCCACAGGGACCACATCCACGAAGACCGCGAGCACAGCAACCAGCAGCACGGCTAGCACAAGAACCACTACCAGCAGCAGCACCTGGACCACATCGGGCACGAGCTCCTCTGTGACCAGCACCTCTACCAGCACCGTGAGCACCTTCCCGGACCTCGTCGGCGCCCACGTGGATATCACAGAAGACGACGATGGAACCGAAGCAATTCGGCATGCACTGGCAAGTGTGGGTTAAGTTTCTTGGCCCCTATATACAGCATGTCTGTGCACACCAACCTCCACTGTCTAGTCATCCCTCAGCTCAGATAAGCATCGAAGCCGTGGCCGGCATAGCGGGCGCTGTGGCCGCTTTCATGGTAATGGTGGTATTTGGTTTCTGGTACGCTCGTTGCGGCGGATCAGGGATCTCTTTCTACAAGTGCCTGACCTGCTTCCTGGGTGCTCAAACCGGAGGAGCGACTGCGACGGCAAGCGTGTAGTACAGGTCAGGAACTTTCTGTTTGTTGCTGTATATTCCTTGTGGGTGCAAAGATGCCAATGCTCCAAACGGATTGGCGTCTCAACTGCTGATAGAACCCGCAGACACTGTTGACAAAGCATGGTAAAAAAAGTCTGGTATGGCGCGAGAGTGCTTGGTAATCTTCACTATGGGCAAAGCTCTACAGTGAAAGCCAGAAAGTTGGAACGCACGCACAGGAGCATGTTCCACTTTTTGGCCGCGTTCCAACTTTAAGGTTTGGATGGCCACGTTCCAACTTTAACGTTTGGATGTTGAGGGCAGCCCACATCATGTGCATGACTTTTGGCTTTTTGTAGAGAAGTAGGTTCCACGTCCCCTCCCCTCCCCTTCCCTCCCCTCTCCCTCTCCCCCCTCTCCCTCTCCCCTCCCCCTCTCCCCTCCCTCTCCCTGTCTCCCCTTTGAAAGAACTTTCCAAAACGCAAGCAGTCCTTTGAACAAGTCCCGTCTTTTGTGTGTTTTGTCGGCTTCCATGTGCCTTACATGCTTGCTCATGTCCCTCAGGACGATTTGTTTTTCATGCGCCTGAATAATGTAAACATCACATTTATAAATGGGGTGGTAATAGTAATATTCGCCGGCCAGAGGGCCCCAGCCCAAGACTACTTTCCACTACGGGGTTTTCGGGCTGATGTGTGCAAACAAGTCCATATAGGGGGGTCCGGTGAAAATAATAATGGGTGACAAAGGTAAAATTTGGCCAGGAATCGAAAATTTTTCTGAAAATGGCTTAAGAGTTCCATTGCAGAGAAGACTTTCCAACTGAGCTGGCTTGGAAGAGCTCCGAGGCTCAGTCTTTAGAGAAGCAGCTCCAGAGCTGCGAGAAACTGCTGCTTCAGGCTTGTTTCTTCAGCGAAGCAGGTGCCTTTTGAGATTGCTGCAGCTCCAGAGCGAGAAGCTGCTGCTTCAGGCCTGTGTCTTTTGAAATTGCTGCAGCTCCAGAGCTGCGAGAAGCTGCTGCTTCAGGCCTGTTTCTTCAAAGAAGCAGGTGTTCCTCTAAGGCTTCAGATAAGAATCCCTTAAACTTAAGACTTCAGCCTTCGGGTCCTGGAATTCAGGAAGCCGCCAAAGGTCTGAAAGCAAGGTTTCGTTACTAAAATCCTTATCCGCCGGAGCTCGAAAACAAGTCCGGAAAGGGTACCCCCTTACGGGCCTCCAAAATGACAATAATATTAAGGGGTGGCAATAATCATTTCGGCTAGGGGGGGTGGGGGGGGGACGGGATTATTGACACGCCCTCTTTTTTTACACCCCTCCAAATCCCGGGGACCAAAACAAGATTGGGGGGGGTTTATTAAAGCGACGTTCACATTAGTGCCTGAATGTAACACCCAAAGTTGGAACATGAGAAACACAACGCGTACAGTTGGAACTCATTTGCACTGTCTGTGGGAGTGCGCGAAATTAGGGCGGGCGTGTTCCAACTTTCCGCAAGGGACGTAAGTTCCATGCAAATCCAACTGTCATGAGTGTCATGGGTATGCCGGCGCATTCTTGTGTGTGTGTGTGCCACCCCTTGAAGGCCCCGAAAATGACGGACGCCCCCTTTGGATCCAGGCAACATGTCTCTCACAGTGGACACGGGCACTTGTCGTGGACCCTGGTATTGTATTGCCAGATTCGATTGTGGGTTTCTCTCTTGAGGCACCTAGGCAGTGCTCGATCTACAATCGCTAGCAGTTGCAGTGCAAAATAACGGGGTGTCTATGAGCTGATTCTGGACAGTTACCATGCTACCGTGATGCTCGACTGTGGTGTTTCTCTCCTCAACGCCGCTGCTGGCATTACCACGGTTTTCCATGAAACACATTGTGGATATCAACTGGCCCTCTTGCCGCTTAGCCCAGCTGCATACCTGCATACTTCCTGTCAAGGTGTCATGTGTCACGTTGTCTGGTGTCCATGCGTGGGTTTGCGTCGGCTTTGCGTGACAAAACGTGCCCAAGGACACCCCGCTGTGAAGGCTCCGATTAAGGTGAGAGGTTTGTTGCGGTGTTAGTTGGTTTGGGGGACACCTTCTAGCAGCTTCATGCAGGAAGATGCATGTCGGGTACCATGGCCCGTGGTCCTTGATTTCTTCGTCGTCGAGCATGTGAGCTACATTTTTATTTATGGGAATGAGACTTTGGTTGAGGGAATTTAGGGACGACGTCACGTCAAAGTTGGGGGTGGGAAGGGGCGCCCCAGACGTGGTATGAACAATAGGAAGTATCAAAGCAAGAAACAATAGCTTCCAGAGTTTTGCGGGTACTATTGGTGCGAACAATTGGTTTGCAGACGGCTTTGAATTAGCTATGTGCTTGTGATGTTTTATCGAACCAGATCGCTGAGTGTTAGCACATACGATTAATACGCGGATCATGGCATGTGGATTGGATTGTTCACGGATGGGCCATCATCCTTGAATTAGTTGACATTGCAAAATTTCTTCCACAGTTCCCATGAGCTGCTGTTCCGGCAGCATGGGATCTAGGAACGGCATGACGTCCAGTCGGCCAAAGCCTTCGAGCTTTCGTTTCTCGCGTTGAACAAGACAAATTCATAGTTTAGGGTTTAGGGTTTAGGGTTTGGGCCAGCTTCTGCTAGTCATCAGTTTCTTTGGTGGCCTACATAGCGAACTCAAGCTTCGCCCAGCTTCCTGACCAGTCATTTCACATCGAATCTGAGCAGGTGCCTTCGTCGGTCGAGCATATGACACGTGTGACACTTGTTGCATATGTGTGCCCGTTCGAGGTTACAGCAGAGAACAGGTATGAGAACAGGTGCAAGTATCAAAAGGTTGACACAAGCGCTTCTGTTTTGTGATTCATTCAGTTTTTCAAGGTTGCATTTGTGTTTGCGGCGTACGCACGCGCTTGCTTGCTTGCTTGCTTGCTTGCTTGCTTGCTTGCTTGCTTGCTTGCTTGCTTGCTTGCTTGCTTGTGTGTGTTGTGTGTGTGTGTGTGGCCGCGCGGCCCGTGTGTGCGCGCGCGCGCGGGTGTGTGTGTGTGTGTGCATGTGCGTGTAAATGTGGCGGACTTGCGTCGAGTATATCAAATACATCACTTCATTCGCTGTCGCTATTCTTGGTATTTACAGGTCTTGCATTTGGCTTAGCGGGCGAACGAATGCGGGGTCTTGCCATCGACCGCTGTTGCAAAGGCCCGAATCCAAGATGGATTTCGCCATAGCATCACTTCCCAACTGGTGGTAGGTCAGATTTGGTGCTCACTGCACATAGCCGACCGCGCACGGTTGTTTGATGGTATGCTTTGTGAGAATTGGAGGTGCCCAATCACCAAGCACTTGCAGTTGCAGTGTTGCTTGGTGATGGGCGATGATGATGAGGAGGCGTATTGTCCATAGGCTTGTCGCAGACAATATTTCGAGAGTTTGCCCGGAGGATGACTCATGCCCCCTTTGCATGCAGCCGATGGACGAGACGGACATATCCTTTTTTCCTTGTTCTTGCAATTACCAGGTCCGGCTTCCTGTCAGTCAGGGTTCGGTGCATGCAATTTTAGTGCTCATTTGCCGGTGGTTTCGTCGCTCGTAGGTTGAAGCAAGAGTGTTTCTCCACTGTCTGCGAGGTTTGCCTGTTCTGCGTTCATTACATCATGGAGCAGATGAACGGCAAATGTCCGGCTTGCAGACAGGAGACTGTTATTTTGCCGAGGGATGAGTTCACCACATATTTGGCTTACATGTCGGTGGATCCTGCATGGCCAGGACTATGTGGAGTCCCAGTTCAGGCATGATGCGAGTCGGTTTGCCAAGCGACTGCTCGTGATAGTAGGCTTTGCATGAAATGACTCGTGGTGCTCATGTTTCTAGCATTTGTGAAACAATAATTTGTGCTTGCAAGGTCGCGCTCAGATTTTCCGAGAAAAACAAGCAGAGAAGAAAAAGGCTGCTATACATTGCACAGCCTGCCAGCTGCCAGTCACATGTTCATTTGTGCCCTCCTTTCCAACAGGGTGGTAACAAGAAGGAGGAGGCTCCTCGCGAGGCTGTTGACATGCAGTACAGAGCAAGTTGTTCTTGAACGAATGCCAGAAGATCTTGTCAAGACTGCGAGCATCAGCGTTGCACTGGTTGCGGTTTTTACTGCGCACATCTGGTCCAGAAGAATTTGTTTTGCGCCTGACAGAGGGGGAGCTCTGCAGCCGTTGAACAGGCATGACATCAACAGACTTGCAGTTCGACGTGTAATTTGCAAGTAGCATTCCTATACGCAAGTGTGGTAGGAAACGGATGCCTAAACCCTAAACCCTAAACCCTAAACCCTAAACCCTAAACCCTAAACCCTAAACCCTAAACCCTAAACCCTAAACCCTAAACCCTAAACCCTAAACCCTAAACCCTAAACCCTAAACCCTAAACCTCGGGTCTGCGACCTCCCACAAGCTTTAGTGACGTGTTGCAGGAACAGGAAAAAGACGCGCGAGCACGCCATGCAGAAAAACTGAAGGCAGCTTCAGCTTCTTCATGGGCCTTGATGAAGTCACAGGTGCTTGGTACCACAGCTTGCTTTTGTGGGCATTCGATTCGTCCGTGCAGGGCAGAGGTGGACGCCGTGATTTGGCGGAGGTTCGTGTTGTACAGAGGAGAATGCTGCCCTCTTTGTGTTCAGAAGACGTGCGAATTTATTTGTGGAAGCTGTGAAGCTGTGAACCTGTGACGGCCTGCTTGAATCAAGATACATGTATCCTCATGCCATGCCGATTCCAGAATTGCTTTGCTTAGCCCAGGTTCAATTTTCTTGAAGAAGATGCGAGGAAAGTAGCAACCCAGCTTGAAGTCCGCATGAATCGCGCCGGCAGTGCCATGGGGCTGTGTTTGGCAGTTCCAGCACCAGGCAGATGTGTGCTGCCGAAAAAACGAAACTCGTCTTTCAGTTTGCAGACCCTGTGCATGGATGCCTCAGAGTCGGTGTATCTCACCCTGCTTGGCCGGTAGGTGCCCAGTCGCTTGAGGAAGCTGCCTCCAGGCACTGCCTCCCGCCCAAACAGCCTGAACCCCCAGCAACATGAACTGGCCGAACTGGCTTTAGCCACGAAGTGTCCCGCTACCGCCATGTCAACACGCAGCATCGTGTGAGTAATCACGCGAGAGCAATCAACTCAGTGTACGTGATTTCAGTTCAGCCTTGATGCAGTTTAAGTCAGTTGGCAATGGCAATGTCAGTGTCTCGTCATTCTCAGCATGAATGTAGGGTTGAAGATCGTGATAAGCACATGCATCTTTAATCAATGACCGAGGCTAGCGCACTCGCTTCACGTACCCCCTCTTGTGTGTGTTATAGCATGAGCCGAAAAATAGTTCGACTGGAAGGGGTACCATACCATGAGTGGGAGGGCCGCAGAGCGCCTGATCGTATGTCTGTATGTATGTATGTATGTATGTATGTATGTATGTATGTATGTATGTATGTATGTGTGTTTGTATGTATGAATGAAGGAAAGGTTTTGACATTATGAGTCGTGTATTGCAATTTCGTGCTTGCTTAGAGGGACTGCGGGAGTGTTCCTGGAGTGACGACCTTATCGAGTTCTCAGACAGCTAGCTCAGAGTGTTCAAGCTTTCCCTTGAAGGTGACGGGAGGAAGGAGCCCAATGGCCAGTCGAGCAAGCATTAAGCGAGCGGTGCTGGCAGCTCGACTCTTAAAGAAAACGGACAAGACAGATGCAGAGGCACTTGGCCCCGAAAGTGACTCCAGCGCTGTGCCTGCCGCGTCCGGTGCAGCCACGGTCCAAACAGAAGGATTCCGAGGAGGAGCCATCGCCTCCAAAGCTCGGTTCAGGAGGCAGTTGTCACGTCGACGAAGCAACTCAGGCGGAGAGATGGTCTTGTTGACTTAATTTTTGCTTTGCTATGTGTGCTATTCCGTGTGAAGATTGCTTGTTGCCAGGTGGGCTTTCTCTGTCGAAATCCCGAAGTTTCGAATCAGATCCTCGGTTTGTGCCGGATGTTGGGGCTTCCGTAAGTTTGTGCCAAGTCTTCGCTTGCATTTTTGAAAGTTCAAGTGACCAAGAGGTAGGTAGCTCTCGAAGTGACTCTAAGGACGAGGCTGAGCCAGCTGAGCCCGTGGATGCAGGCCCTTCCATCCCTTCCCCGTCCGTCGCCCCATCCAATGCAGGCCCGGTTGTGAGAGTGGTGTCGTTCATGTGCCCGTTGAAAGAACTTGCAAGTTCTTGGTGCCTTTACGCAGGCCGAGGGGCTCCAGAGACTGGAAGTCATCTTCGTTCGGAACCCAGCAGTCTCTGAGCACTCTCTGGGCTTCCGGAGCTGTACCGCGGCTCACTTGTTGCCAAAGAACGTAAGCGAACAGAACATAGGGCAATCGTTCATGATCCCGAAAGACGTGAAAATTCTGCCAGCTGAGCATCGAGTAGGTGTCTTGGAATCACAAGTCCGCCTTGGGGGCAATGCTCTGCAATGCTCTGCAATGCTCGGACTTGAAAAGATTCTCCAGGTCTAGAAGACCTGGACCAGGCAGCGCAGAAGAGCAAGTCGCAGGAAGTGCGGCTCCTGGATGCGCGATTGCACTTCTGCGCAGGTGAATTGAAGCATCCACGAGCCAGTCAGAGCCTGTGTTAGAATGTGTTAGCATAAGTTGCATGTGTTAGCATGTGTTAGTCACTGTTGGTGTGCGATTTGCTTTTCGCGAAACGCAGGCGTACACAGGCTTAAGCTCATGTTGCACAGCCTCCTTCACAGTTCACCGGCCAAACATCCAGCGATAACTACCCTCATGACCTGCTGCCTTAGGCATGGACAAGACGGTGGGGTTTTACTACTTCTTGCTCCAAAGCTCGTGCTAATTAAGCCGAAAGTCGATCGTATTTTCAAGGACCCGGAAGATTGAGTGACCGCTCTCGAAACTGCGGTTTCTGAATTCAGCGAGCATGGCAGAGCCCCCGCTGCAGAAGAGGCGGGCTTCAAATCACATCGTCTTGTGCATTTTGGTGCGAGTGCGAGTCATCGGCAGTGCGGCTTCAAGGCGCGTGACGACCACTGACATGATGGTCCCAGACTTGTTGGAAGCACCAGTCAGTCAGCGAAAATCGTGCCGTGGTGTCTTTGAGAGATGGTTGTCTCTTTGCTCGTTAAAAGCTGGTGCGGGCTTCGGGGGTGAACTGTTGGCTTAGAGGGGCGCCAAGAATTGAGGAGCGGCAGTCGCCCGCTCTGGCCCAGCAGCGGGTTTCAAGGAGAGATCTTTTCAACGCAGTGTCATCGCTCAGGATATCCAAGCAGCACACAGCACCAAGTGCTGGGTTGCAATGTGGGCAGGTTGAGCGGCTCTGCAGGTTGGGACGACGTCCTTGAGTTCGCAACAGGATGCCAACCCTTGTACGTATAAAGCCTTCGCCAACCCTGACTTCTGGCAGGCTATCTGTTCCGCCGGACGCGCTGTCAAGAATGCACAAGATGCATGAACTTCTGAAGGCACGGCTTGAGACAATGAAAATGAGTCGATGACGTTGACGTTGACGAGCTGTTCCGTTTGTTTCTCACCACGGTGTAGCACTGGCGCTGCTTTCGTGCTGCTTCCTCTTTCCAAGGCCCAGCAAGGTGAGGCCAAATCCAAACATGAGGACACCACTGAGTCGACCATGGACACTGAGCTGCGTCCCAGTGAGTCACCTTCGAGGCTGTGTTTGTGCGATGTGCAATTATATATGCAATTGCACGTAATTATGCGAAACAATATGTGTTCTGCAATGTTCTGCACTAATTGCGAAACCTAGACGTGTCTGAGGACCGGATGTGGAGCGGGAGGAGTTGCTGGCACGTCTTCTCCGAACTGCCTGTGCGCGAGGGCTACGAAGGTAAAGAGGCACCTTACAGCTGCCGGGCTTGGCAAGTGCGGCCGGGCAGTGTTACCGGGGAGTCCTTGCTGAAGAGCTTTGGCGTGGGAGCGGTGAACATGAAGGGCGTCAAGGGTTTCGGAGACAAGTCGGTTGGTCAGGACTGTTGCAGTATTTCGGTGTTGCCATCTGGTTGGCACGTTTATTGCCTCTTCGATGGTCATGGCGATGGGGGCCATTGGCCTGCCCAGAGGGCATCGCGTACTCTCCCTTATCTGTTGGAGGCCACGCAGGCTTGTAGCACCATGCTCAAGCAAGACAGTGTGGAAGCTGCCCTTTACCATGCGTTCGAGAAAGTTCAGATGGACTTGGTCAGACAGTCAGTGGAGCAAGATTTCGAGTTGCAAGTGTGTGGAAGTACAGCCGTCTGCGTGCTGCAACACCCGCGACATCACAAGGTTTGGGCTGCGTATCTTGGAGACTCGAGGGCTGTGCTGATAGTACCTGGGAAGGGAGCAGTTGCCCAAACAATGGATCACAAGCCTTCAGTCGAGTCTGAACGCGCTAGGCTGGAGGGTCTTGGTGTGGATATCCAACGGAAAGTTCACGAAGACGGCTTTGTTGAGGAGCGACTCTTCATTCAAGGGGAAGATTTTCCAGGTCTCTGCATGACGAGATCCTTGGGCGACCTCTGTGTCAAAGACCACGGAGTTACTGCAGAACCAGAGGTGCTTTCCTGGAATACCAGTGACTACCCTGATAGCTATGTGTTGATCGCAAGTGATGGTATTTGGGACTGCTTCACGTCCGATGAAATGAGCGAATTTGAGACCAGTCTGCAAACTAGGGGGTTTCGCTCATCATTGTTTGGGAGTGAATTGGTCCACTGGTTCACCTTGGTCCACATTGTTTCCTGCAAGAGTTGTTTTTTTGACGCTTGGCGCAGTTGATACGGCGTCAAGTCTTCCGGCACTCGTGAGTCCTGTGAAGTCCTCGGTCAGGTTCTGGATGCCATTGCTGCAGGTGATTCTCTCAAGGTTGTCACGAATAAAGTGTTGGAATGCGCCAGACAAAGATGGAGAGATTATGAGGAGCACTATTGCGTGGCTCGGCTCAAGTGAAGCATGTTGCGATTGAGGAGCGGAACAGAGCTATGAGTCACGCTTGATCACGCTCTCGAATTCCTTGATCTACACGTGCACCGTAGATCACCCATTCCTCCCTATAGGGTCCACGAACAACAGTGTACGCTCGAATCCACCTATTCGGCAAAGTCGGGGATTTGGGCTGCGTGTTCAATTTGCGTTGATGGACGCTCGTCCACCTGCTGTGAAAATCCCAGTCACCTCCGCACGCGACCAGGGTTCTGGCTATCTGAAGTTTGGGCTAGAGAAGTATTTTCTGGGGCAGCTTAGCATTCTGCAATATCCACCCTAAACTTCGGAGCCTCTGCAGTTACCTGGTAGCATGCTGTGATATGCTGTCTTAGCTCGCATGGCACTCCAGACCCAATCGTTTGTCAACTGCAATGGTAGAGTCGATTTGCAGAAATTTTGTATTTGTATTAGTTGTATTTTCTGTGCAGGATGATGTCACGCTCATCCTTTTCCATGCGCATCACAAAGACTCAGGCAGTGCCCAACTCAAGCCGCCGCACAACGCATCTGTTGCAAGAGAATATGCGTTGCTGTGTATGTGTGTGTGACCTTTGGCTTACGCAGGCCATGAAGATGCCTTGGCCCATGCCGAGCGAGAAGGGTGTTGCTCTGCGGGTCTCAAGCACCTGGGCATCTTGG